CGCCGCACGGGGCGGTCGTTGTTGTGCAAGGCCAACGGGCCAAAGCGCGGGAAGCGCCCGACCCATTTGGGAGGAGGCCGAAAAGTTCGCGGGGGCAAAATGTTCGCGTGGAAAAAAGTTCGCACAGCTGCTCGAGCGCGAAATGCACGAACTTTTTTCCTGCGCAAACTTTTTTACTTATACAGTACAACCAATCTGCTATGAGAGCCACAAGCTAAATCCTGCTGAGACAAGATATGGGGCATATGAACGGGAGCTGTTGGGAATCGTTTGGGTAGTGGGGAAGTGGCGGCATTACCTTGCCAGCCGTCATTTCACCATCCAGACAGACCACAACTCTAAAGAACCTACCAAATCAACCTGCTGTGAATAGGAGGATTTGGAAGTGGGTTCAGGTTCTCCAGGGGTATGATTGTGACCTGGTCCACATACCAGGCAAGAAAAACTCCGCAGATTTTCTCACCCGGAGAAGTCTTAAGGACGTTAAAGAAATGGTACACGTCCGGGAGGAGGAAGAGTCGTTGGTCAAAAGGCTATTGTTGGGAGAAGACAAGTCTGACGACGGCATCCAAAAGAAATTGGATCAGATTTTTGCAAAGACGCGTCCGGAGGTGACCCAAGTTTTGGGTCAGGAGGAGAATTCGGGACCATCAATTTTGGTCACCCGGTCCCGAATTTCATTGGTGAGAGATATGAGAGAGGGGATTAAAAGGGGACTTTGTCAAGACACTCGTTGGGTTGATATTCTATCCCAACTGGAATTAGCCCAGGGCAGCAACATTACTATTGGCGATTGAACTTACCGGTTGTTAGGTGGATTACTAAAGATAAGGGATAGTGACAAGCACCAAAAGACACAGTGGCGGTTGGTGGTACCAGATGTGCCAGACATCAAAAAGCAAATTCTAAAGGAATTACATTAAATCCCTTATTCAGGCTATCTTGGCTACCACAAGACATTGAAAAATATACAACATTCTTTTTATTGGCCCGAGCACACCCTAGACATTCGTGACTTTGTCATGGGGTGCCCAGTGTGCCAACAAGAGAAAGCCGTCCACTGTGTGCTAGCTGGACTTTTACAGCCCCTCAAACTCCCAGAACAGAAGTGGGCAAACGTCAGCATGGACTACATAATGGATTGCCTAAATCAGAGGCAGGGAACGATGGAATTCTCACCATTGTAGATCGGGCCACAAAGATGGTGCACCTTGCACCAGTCAAGCAGACTATTATGGCTGTTGATACTGCCCGAGTCTACTAGAATACAGTGGAAAAATTGCATGGGATTCCTCGTTCCATCGTGAGTGACAATGACCCCCGCTTTGTGTCCAAGTTCTGGCGGGAGCTGTGGAACATTCTGGGAAGCACCTTGAGGATGTCCAGTGCTTACCACCCTCAGACGGATGGTCAAACTGAGGCAATGAACAGGGTGGTAGAGATGGTGTTGCGCTGTACACTGCACGCTGGGCAGGAAGGTTTGAATTGGGAGCGATTGTTGTCCACCGTGGAGTTCTTCATCAACAATAGTCCAACGTAGGCCACCGGGTACATGCCATTCTATCTGAATTATGGCTTCCATCCATATACTCCGATGGACCTTGTCCGTGATGGTGACTCCACCTTGATCGAAGGAGTCAACCAATTTGTGGAGCGGATGAAAAGGAGCTTCTCTACAGCGCTTCAATTTCTGCATCGGGCTCAGGACAGAATGAGGATGCAAGCCGACTAGAAGAGAAGGGAACATAGGTTCAGTAGTGGGGATCAGGTGCTGCTCTCGACAGAGCACTTGAAAATGAAAAACGCACCGATCCGGAAGCTGAAGAAGCAGTTCGTTGGGCCATTCTTTATTGTCCGTCGGGTGGGACAAGTGGCCTACGAGCTCGACTTACCATAAAAGTGGAAGATCCACAATGTCTTCCACGTCAGCTTGCTGCGCTCATTCAGGATGAGTACTTGCGAAACTAGCAGGGAATCCGAGAATGCTGGCGGAAGTGGACTGCTCAGTTCAAGAGCAAGAGTTTTTGGTGTTGTGGAGGAATTATTCACCCGATGATGCCTCTTGGACACCAGAAGAGAGCTTCACTTACCCAGAGGAACTAAAGAAGATGATTAAAGGGACAAACTAGTAGAGGATAGTTAGGTCCACTGGTTCGCCGAACGTTTCTAGGGCGAAAATACCCCTAGGGAGAAGTACTATGGTGTAAACTACAGAAGGTAATTATTGTTTCTCTATATGGGATCTGGGAAGTGGAACGTATAGTGATTATGGTATCTCATGCAAAAGTAGACTCTGTTAGGAGTCCATAGGTTTTTGAACCACCCTAATTGGCTTAGCGATTGAGGAGATATGGTTAGTTGAATATCTAGTACTTTAAGGGCCTCTCCTGGACCGTATTGGGGGATGAGATACTATCGCTGGATATGATACGATACGGTGCGCTGCATTGTCATGTGACACGTGCTGGTGGCCGCCCCAAAAGGGTGACCACCTGATGTAGTACTATAACCGTTGTTTCCCCTGTCTCGCGCCTCCCAGCGGCTGCACCCGCTAGCCGCACGGCGCCGCGCACTCACCGCGTGCACAGCCGCCCCGCGCCCGGCCATCCCTGTGGCCTGGGCCCACACTGCGTACCCGAAGACACGAGCGCCTCGGAAAGCCCGCCGGCAATCCGGCGGAGGAGGCCCCGCGGCCTCATTGGGCGCCTCGGCAGGCGCCATCGCCCACATCGAACCGAAAACCACGCCATGGGGGAATGGTTGCCACTTTCTCTTGCACCTCTTTGCCGATCTTGAGAGGCCTCCCGCAATTACCTTGACGATGGTGACTAAGATCTAAGAGTCCGGGCTTGGAAATCTTGGCTCACATCGCTGTCCCGATGCACCGAATTGACTTCGAATTGTAGCCAACGGCGAGTTCAATGATCAAGCCACTCGGAAACCATTTTCTGCTGCCTTGCCGCTTCATATGGGCCCCACTTTCAGTCTGAGCGGCCTGGAAAGGTCTGTGTAGTTGGCTCTGTTTTGCCACCGCAAAGGCGTGGTCCTCGCCATCGCCAAGAATGGCCGTTCTTGCTGAAATATTAGGAACCGGTGTTATTTTGGCAAGAGGATCCTTGATATAAAGTACTGCCAAATCTTCAATACTTGACGGATTGGCTTGAAATTTTGACAATATACTCCAGAACGTAGGTGAAGATTTGCAGATTTTCATTGAAAAAGGAAAAGTGCTTAATGAAAAAAAGTGCGCCAAACTCCTAGAGGACATTCAATATGCGACTGGGGAAGTAATTAACTACCCTGGTAATAAATTTCTGCCAAGGGCGACGTTAGATGGGGGCGTGCCGGCCGTTCTGGGCCAGGCTGCCTTTCTGGGCCATTTCATGGCCATCAAGTACCACTTTCTGTCACGCCTGTACCCGGGGTTAGTTCTGACCACCAGATCCAAGGGGCACAGGGTGGTCGTTGTAACCTGGGCGTAGACAAGGAAACCGGTGAATCTGGACCTTGGGTTTGGCGGGAGGTTTGGCAGCAAGTGGGAACGGCTATTTGGGCGTTGCCCTTGGCACCCACATTATCTTGTTTCACATCAACGTGGCCCACCACACTAGAGTGAGTTTCGGTTAGTTGTGGGATGGAGAGGGAGTTGAGTACGAGAAAAGGGGAGCTGACTCAGGGTTGAGTCGCCACCAGTGTGGCATTAGGTACTGTGTGAAGCGAAGGCACATTTCAAGTGGGTCGCCAATCGGGTCTTGTATTAGTGAGGTGATGAGCATCAATACATTTGTGAGTGTAATGTGTTGTTTTGTGGGGAGCACAGGGGGGTTGAAGGAGACCGGTAAGGCAGAAACATCTGTTCTCATTCATCAATCAACCATTTCATTGCTGAGTGAACCACGTGATGCCTTCCTGCGGGGCATATCATATGTCCCCAACCTGTAGCATCTCACACCAGAAGTGATACTTTTACTTTTAAGAAAGGAACCTGCTGCTCGAGGGCGCAATAACTAGAACGCATCAGTTGAAGTCCAGATGCTGAAAATAATGGAAAATTTCCTTAACCTGATAAAATCGCAGCTGCATTTCATATCGTTGAAACGGCGTATTGCCAGGAATTTGGCGCGCTTTTCGGCAGTAAATTTATTTTCCTGCCTATTTCTCGTGTGCTTTGTTTCGACCATCAAGCTAGTGGGCGTCATTGCCTCATTGCACACCTTGCCTTTTCATTTTCTGTCATGAACATCTTCTGCGTGCATTTTCAGGCCTTTTCAGCAACGCTCAGAAGCTGTACATGCCAGAATTCTAACCGGTCTGGGGTGCTGAATCACCTAGCCAGCCGCCATACGCATATTTGGTGCTTTGAGGGCTTGACAGAAAATGCCCATTGGTACAATTCAATTCACAGTTACAAACAAAGCTAGCCACCAACTCGTGCGATCGTTTGTGGACAGGCCGGGGGGCAGCGAGGGCTGACTGAAACCCGAGCCATCCCCAGCTCCTCTGATTGGTTCCAACCCGACGTTTAGCTTGGCGTAACGCCGTCCCACCAAAACAAGCTCAAAAACATCGCCAAGCAACAGGAAAGAGACCGATTAGTCCCTCTATCTTTTCCGCGAAGATCCTGCTTCTTCCGCTGTCAAGGCCAACGCTGGTCAGTGGGTCAGTGGCTTTGGGTTTAGGGTGTCCGAAACAAGAAGGGATCTTCAGGGAAAAGACGGAGGGACTACCGCAGTTGGGTGCCAAAAACAACTCGCGTCACCAGCATTTGACGTCAGCGCTGTGCGGAAGGTATCCCGCACCCAACCACCCCGCAGCTCCTGCGCCGCAACGCCTGTTCCTTCCGCGGCACCCTCGCTGCCCTCCCCCCCCTCCTTCCCCCCGCCTTGCCGAGGTCCAACTGCTTTCCAGGGCTTGATTGTTTCGACCCTCCCGGGGCGGCCATCGCGTTGCCGCGAACCCCACTGCGCGCCCGGGGCGCCCCCCACCGGCGCCGGCGGGCGATGGAGACGGACGGCGCTCAAGTTGCCAGCGACGAATGCTGCGCTGCTGCTCATGGGAAGATTGATGAATCTTTTGGAGGCGGGCGCGGTTTGCAGGCGGGGCTGCGGCGATCGAAGCCCCTGCAGGGGTGGCTGGTGCGGAGGCGGCGCCCGCGGCAGTCGACACGCGATGTGAAAGGCGTCGACGGGGTGCGTGCTGAGGTGAGGATGGCCGCGATTGGGATCGGGGGGCCGGATGTGGTCAAGTGGTGTTCCCTTCGCCCTCGTGTGTGGGTGTGTGTGGGTGGGGGTGGAAGTGGGTGGGGGGGTGGGGGGGTGGGGGTTGGGGGGTGGGTGGGTAGCTGGGTAAAATTTGTCGCAAGGAGAGAAAGCCAGGTCACACAAAGGGCATCCCGCTCGTGTGTCCGTGCTGTGAAAAGACGATGTAGAGCCTGCGATGCGAAATGATGAGCACACAGGGGGAGGGGGCCGCGCGTGTACAGGCATCCGCTGTGGTTTGCGGTGCGGTGGCTTTGGCCGAGTGCAGCCGCTTGGCTCGAGGAGCGCAAGAATTTTGCGGGGATGGGCGGCCAGTGGTGGTGGGCTGCGTCGAAGGGAGGCTGGAGGGAGTCACAGTAGGACCTGCTTTGAATGGCCTTCCCAGTGGCTTGAGGGTTGGGAATGGGAGGGCGATTAGATTGTGAAATATTCCCGATCCGCTGCGAAGTGGAAATCTTCTCACTGTGTTGAAAAGCAACCGACCACAGCCCTTGCACTTGCAAAGCGATGCTGTGGATATGGCTGCACACAGAATGTTGAGAATCGATGGCCGCAAAAGCCCACGTCACACACAGGTCTCATTTTCCACATACAGGTTTCAGGGCCTACTCAGAAGATAGGACAATTGCAGTCCATTTCAGTCCATTTCATGCTGTTTATTGCAATACGACAAAACAGTCTGCTGACACCTCCCAAGGTAACTACGGACATAAAGTCAGGCCACATCTGCATAGTGTTCAGATCTCTCACTCACAAACAGTGCAAAATGCCAGCAGTGCCACAGTGGGGCAAGGCTACGTGAAAGCAACTCTGCTGGTTGCATGCCAACAGCAAGTGCCACTGTGGGCACACAGACAAAAGGCATGTTAGGTACCCCTGCAGCTCAAATGCTATGCACAGTTTCAACACAAAGGCAGCATGGCAGTGAATATGTAGCATCCACCCCATTCATGTGGGGGATGGCTTGCAGTTGGAACAATGTGGTGGCAATCTTGGGTATTATGGGAGCCACAAGGTGCACATCGGATTACCTTGAAGTCATGTTGTGTGGATCTTTGCCCCATCGATGTCCATGGCATCCACCGTCCTATATCATTGGTAACGCTAATAAGAAACACTGTTTTGAAGACGCTAACTGCGCCGCCATTGACAATAGTTGATAGCATCACAGCTACTTTCTGGCCATTGCAATCGTCACGATGGCGCCGAATAGTGTCCAAATGGCATCGCAGCTGGCATCGTGGAAACGATGTTTTCTGCTGGTGTAACATTGGTCCAAGGCAATTTTTCTTGCTTGCTCAAGCATTCATTGGCTATGTTTGACCTGGCATGCCCAGGTGCTGCCCCTTCTCCACTACTTTATGTCCAGAGGCGGTCGTGGACACAAACTGAGGCCATGATGTGTGCTTGTGTGCTGGTGGAGCTGTAAACACATGGGTGGAAATGCCGCCACTTCTTTCCAAAATGCCCCACTAGTACATCGATTGTCTACGCATTGGCACGCCCGGCAGTTCGCTTCAGATCTGCTGCAAGCACAATGTTTAGCTGATGCAGGCAATGGCATCTTCAGTCACTGCCCTGTTGCAAGAGTCCCATGTCGAGTTCTGGATATTGGACATGGCAGGATGGAAGAACATCGAGCGGCGGCTGGGGCGAGCTACCCTTTGTGGTCTTAGATGGCTTGAGAGAGGTTCTGGAAAGAAAGAAGCAAAGTTGCGACAGGACTGACATGATTAAAACCGCCCGGCTGATAAACAGGCACTGGCGGCGGTGGGCCTCCGAGTCCATCTCCATTTTGTGCCCCTGGGGCGATCTGCCACTGCTGGAGCTGTCAAACAGCATCATGAAGAATTTTGTGGGTGTGCGGCACCTGAGGTTCGAGCGGTATTGCGGTTCGCTGGAAATGCAGCTGGCACCTGTGGGAAGATTGCGGCAGCTCACCCACCTGGACTTGGGCTCTCACGCGCTCACCGATGACGATCTGCAGTGTGTGGCCCTGTTGACAGGCTTGACTTGCCTCATCGTTTCCGCCACGGGATTCCGTCAACGCACGGAAATCACTCCAGAGGGTTGGGGACATCTGGGTGAGCTGAGATCCCTTAGGCATCTGTCTGTTCCTAGAATTTGCAATGAGGGTCTTAGACACGTGGGGAGGTTGACTAGCCTTGAGCGCTTGGACATTGGAAACTGCAAAGCTGAGCTGAATTTTGAGGGTTTGGTAAAGCTGACCTGCCTCAGACACCTGGCTGTGTCGCTGCAAAGATGCTACGGCCGCGTTTGCAATCTTAGATGGGGAGAGGATGCTGTGCCCAGAGCAGCCGGGGGAGCGAAGAAATTGGGGAACTTGACATCGCTCGCCAACCTCTCTTTGAGGGGCCATGCGATAACCGATGGGAACTTGGGGGACTTGGGAAAGCAAGTGACTTCCCTGGTGTTGGTGGACTGCTACAACGTGACGGATGCTGGATTGAGGCAAGTTGGAGATGTGTTCAGCCTTCAGTTCTTGTGCTTGAGTCAATGCCACAGAATAACGGATGCGGGATTGGGCTATGTGGGGAAATGGGCAAGTCTTCGTGGTTTGGAGTTGTCCCATCTTCACAACGTCACGGACAAGGGCTTGTCTAGGTTAGAGGGTTTGACTGCACTAACGTTGTTGACGCTGGATGGAGGCAGAAATACCTCTGCCAGTGGAGAAGCTAAACTTAGGATGTGTCTTCCTTTGCTGCAGTAAATTGTTGCACGGCGTTGACATCGCTCAGATAGGCACTAATGCTGTGCCCTTCGAAAACAAGTTGTAGCCAATTATCTCTTTGTGTTTAATATTTGTGAGTCATGCGACTGGTAACAACAGTAGTACAGTACAGTAGCAGTGCGGTACACTTAGTGAAGTATCTTTTTACAGCACATTGCGAAGTCTGCACACAGGGGAATACCACTGCAATCCAGTCCAGCCTGGTAAGGATACAGGAGAGTTCCTGCAGAGGGATTTGGGAATCCAAATATGAATGGATTGGCATTCAGTAGGCATGACTATGGTGAGTGCAGCCACTGCACTGCAGAGTGTAACACTGAATATGGGTGAAGTTTTCGATGTACTCAAGACAGATATGTAACCTGCTTTCATGAGATTCCGGCAGTTCATGAAGAAATGGCACAAGCCTCCAATGCCTGACAACCGACGCAGGACACTGCTTGCACAACAAGCGCATTCTTGCAGCACCAAGCTGTGATTCGTAGGCAAGATACTATGCAGGTGATCGAATGAACTTTGTTTGTGACTAAGAACATGCCAAATGATGCAAAATATGCGGAAGCAGTAATAGAATACAACACCAAATGACAACATGCATTTTAGGCCCACCATAATTTGGGTTGACAAAAACTAAGACGTTCAAGAAGGCCCATCCAGAGTTTATTGCCACCTGAATTGGTGGAACGAAATGGGAAAGATTAGACGCTATCAGGAGTTGCATGAAAAACTGCTTGCCAAAGTGGAAGCAAACCCTGCCGTGGTGAGACATGCAATCGCAGGTCTCCAAGTGCTAGATGCACACTTAGAAACAGTATTATCAAGGGAAGAAAACCTCAATTCGACAGCAGTGCCATTCAGCAAGAAAGAAGTTGATTCGGGGTACTCCTTGAAGCAAGTGCCTGCAGTTTTTGAGATGGGCGGTACCACCAAAAGAAGGAAAAAGGATTCAAAGGGCAATAGCCCACCACAGTTGGAGCCCCAACCTTCAGAAGGAAAGAGCAGAGTGGGTGCAATTGCACAGCTGGAAGCACAAGCATGGTACGAGCTTGCCCAGGAGCGGAACGAATATCCGACGGCAGCTTAGTGGCCTGGAGATGGCCAACAAGACAGCAGCCCTTCGGTAGGTTCTGTTTTCCCCATCTGCTGCGGCTGGGTTTGTGGGAATTACTGCATTTCCATATCCATTTGTTGGTGCTTGCAAAGCAAACAAGGAATGGCTGGTGCAACACAAGCATACGGGGTAGAGAGGTCGCCGAACGCGTTTTATTCCTATGGCAGGCCTGCAGTTAGAAGTGGAACAACAAGTGCAGTCATAGGCCTGAGGGCCCATTGTTTGGATAGATATATGCTCTCAACGGGCGAAAGATGGCAAAGCAGTGATGACTGGGGAGTCGTGGCTGGACCAATCGACATCAAAGCGAGAAGCACACACTGCAGTCGCATAGACATGTCACAGCCCAATCCTAAGCATTTGGTAATCAATAATGTGCGCTTGGTCCAGCACCAGATGCTCGTAATTCATCAAAGTACACACTTGCACTGCAGACATGCAAACAGGAGTTTTGCTTGAACTCACGGCAACGCAAGGAAGCACACTGCACAAAAGAATGCCCTGCAGTTTTGCGCGTTGCGGAAACCCAAAGTCTGGTGGGGCGGAAACTTGCTTCTCCAGTGTTTTCTGTCAAACAGTGGCAGGTGTTCGTGCACTTCCCAGGCGATGGTGTGATCCAACTTGATGGTCTCCGCACTTTTGTGTCCATCAGGTTGTCCACCGCTTGCGTGGCAACCTTTTGCCGTGTGACCTCTTCTCGCCAGATTGTCCACTGCCTGCATTTGCATGCCAACCTTGCCGCAAGAACCCCTCGCCAAGTCCATGGTTTCAACAATCTTCTCTACGCCGCCCACCAAAGCTGCGCTTGGCAACCCAATTCCAGATCCCAGGGAATCGAAATGCTCTACGAAGTTCAGCTGGGCGCCTCGCTGTGGCCATGTTTGCCGGCTTCGCCCCTGGAGGCCACGGCTGCCCGTGATCGGCCCCCGCGCTGTGGCTTGCATGCACGTGCCGGAAAGCGGCCGGGAAGCGATCTCCCGCGGATCGCGTCGGGCGAAGTCCGACGCTGCTGCGACGTGGGATGCTGTGAAAGCGTCCGTGCCGCGCGGGGTGGGTTGGCGGTGTGGGGTGGCGCGGGGCGCAGGCCAAGGGCAGGCCAAGGGGAGGCCAAGGGGAGGCCAAGGGGAGGCCAAGGGGGGGACCGTATCGCGGGATTGTAGATACGGCAGTCTGGCAGGCCACATTTAACGGGACGCCAAGGTATCGTTGTAACGTAAGGTGTCCCCCCCTGCGTCCCCTACTACTGTAGTTTATCCAACCCTTCCGCATCGGTCCATCCAGACCGTTACGTTTTTGCTCCGCATTTTCGCCCCGCACCGTTACGTTATTTTGTTTTTGCTCCGCATCGTGTCGGTCGGGCTCCCAGGAGGCTGTAGGGCTTGTACACCAAGTTTCAGGTGCAACGGACCAGTCCCAAGCCTCGTACATGCGTGCACTGTGCGACACCAACCACCCATCTCTGGGGACGCTTCCAAGGAGTCCTAGCGACGCCCGAGGAGAGGCGCGGCTGGACAGTGGGCCCCTGCCTCATCCGCCCAGCCCGTGCTTCTGGCCCGAGGCGGCTTTTCAAGGCAGCCCCGGGCGCCGCCCCCGGCTGGCCGTTGGTCAATGCGCCCGCGCCCGCCGACCGCCCCCACTCCCCGCCAGTGGGATTTCGTGCCATGTTGGCACCTTCGGCGTCAGCGCTCACTCTCCCAGCCACCCGGATGGCAAGCAGCGGGCGCCTGCCGATCGGTCGCCCATGAGCCTGCCGGGTGGCGGGAGCGCCGACAGGATGGCGCAAGGCCGGGTGGGCGGCCCACCGTGGGCCTTCGCACGTCCAATCGGCGGCGGGCCGGGCGAAGCGATCGGCTGCCCGGGTCGATCCGCGATGGCGCAGGCATATGCCTGCGACCGCTTCCCGTTGTTCGCGGGCCGACCCGTTCGGGAGGCAAGCGGCGGGCGCCGGCCTGCCTGCCGATCGACCGCCCAGTGGCCTGCCAGATGGCGGTGCCAAGCCCGTTCCGAAGCCGCGCCCCGGCCGTTACTAAATTCGGCTGCTCCGCATCTCGCCCCGGCACCGTTACTTTTTTATTCATCGACTCCCCGAAAAAGGCCCCAGCGTTACGTTACTATGCGGAAGGGTTGGATAAACTACAGTACGGGGCACTGCAACGCCACCTTACGCAGGCGCCCTCGCCCCTTGCCTGGGTTCCCGCTGGGACACCGGCGCCGACCCGCTTTCGAACACGCCGGGCTATCCATCGCGTGACCACGAACGCCATTTTGCTCGTCCAGGCCGCCGCTCACCGTGTTGGTTGGAATGGTACTCAAGGGGTGGAACTGCCCTCTTCCTTGCCCCTAGACTGGTGGTTTGGCAGAGCAGTTGGAGATCCCAGCAGAGATGGTCGGTTCGATCCCCGGTCATATACCCTCTCTGCCATGCGCAACTTCAATTTCAGCAAACCGCCGCCGTTGGGCGATGGATGCGGACAGCGTTCGGATCGCCGGCGATGAACGTGGCGTTGACGCTGATGGGAAGATTGATGAATCTTTGGGAGACGGGCGCGAGTCGCAGGTGGGGATTGTGGCGATCAAGCTGAGCTGTGGCTGAGAAGGATTGTCCGATACCCATCATTGCCGGATATGAAGGTCACGAAGGTGGTGAAGCTAAGAACCCCAAAATATAAAATTTAAGCACATTAAAAAACCGAAATGACCTTCATGACTTCATGACTCCCGACTTTATGACTTCATGACTTCATGACCTTCATGGCCTTCATGACTTCTCATCATCATGACCTTCATCACCTCCATGACTTCATGTCCGGAAAGGAAGGGTATCACACATTTGTGTGGCTGATGCGGGCGTGGAGCCTGTGGCAGTGCATGCGCAGGCTGGACAGCAGAAGCTATGGCAAAGGTGCAATAGCTACAGCAAGGCTCTTGAATTCTTCTTGCCAGCACCATCCTAGGTTAGCTGATCATACCCGCATCACAAAGAGCAAGTTCCTGTGGTTGTCTCACAGTGACTCAAGAACGTCAAGACTGGCAGCGGCCAGGATTGCCAACACAGATCACAAGACATTTGTGAAAGTAGAAAAAATAGAAATGCGTGGACGGGGGACGTGTCTGAGATGAGAG